ATTTTCAGCTGTCATTTTATGCTTTGAGTGTCCTTGATCACCTAATTGTAGTATATCTGCCTTTCCTACAGTCTCATGAGATGAAAAGGGAGAGCCATGGCAAACGACTCTCACCCTCTGCTTGTTCAAGCTGTGTATTCTTTTCAAGGAAAAAACAATGATGAAGTATGTTTTTATTATATTATTGCGACAAAATTATTTTTTGTTCTTGTTCCCTTTAATTAATATTATTTATCATTTTTGTTGTTTTCTTTTAGTTGTGCTTTAAAAAGGGTGACATCATAACTGTCACTCAGACAGAAGAAGGGGGATGGTGGGAGGGTACACTTGCCACAACTGACAAGACAGGGTGGTTCCCATCAAATTATGTAAAAGAATATAAACCACAGGGTAAGTCTCCAGCTATTATTTAATATTTACCAAGTATTGATCTGTTCATTGCCAAGTTTTCTGTTTCTGTTTCTTAGATACTTCTGTTTTAGAAGCCATGACTATTATTAGCAAAACAAGTCCCTCAGTACAAATGCCAGTAGATTTGACTGCTCAACAAAAAGCTTACAGGAATTTGGTGCTAAGGGACATTATCGACTCTGAGAAAGCAAATGTAGCCGAGCTTCAAACTCTGGTCCAGAATTTTCTTCATCCCTTAGAAAACGCAGAAGTGTGAGTATTACCTATTTTGTTTGTGCATGCTTTAATCTTGCTCTCGATTTTCCTGTGTGGTGGTGTGGTTACATATTTGCTGTGGTTTTTCATGCTTTCTGTGGAAAGGCTAAATCAAGAAGGTAGGAAATGATGCTGTATGGTGTAGGAGACTTTTCTTGTAAACTGTGTGAGGTATTAACTTTTAGAAATCTAAAAAATTTATAAATTACAGAGTACCGCGTGATGAATATCGACAGTTAGTTAGCAATATGGATGAAATCCTTGCTGTTCAGCAACATCTATTAGCTGCTCTCGAAGACTGTGCCACAAAACAACCAAGTGAACAGAGGATTGGTCGTGTATTTTTAACGAATGCACCCCACATGAAGCAAGTGCACCAAACCTATTGTGCTGCACACCCTAGAGCTGTTTGTGTGATTGATAAATACAAGTAAGTCCTGGTAGTAAATGAAGTTTACATCAGTACATATTAATTGTTAAAAATCTATAACAATCTCAATTATTTTGATAGAGATGAGTTGAATACATGGATGGAATCTGTGGGAGCAAGTGTTCCTGGCATACTTGTGCTCACCACTGGTCTTAGTAAACCATTTCGACGCTTAGACAAGTATGCAAGCATGTTGCAGGAACTAGAGCGCCATGTTGAAGAAAACCATCCTGATCGAGGAGATACCCAAAGATCTGTCAGCATTTATAAGGAAATTGCAGTAAGTTATCAAGAAAAAATCAATAATCTAATATTGACCCCTTTCATAGTTGCATATTTTTTAAAAAGTTTTCTGTTCTTTAGTCTGCTTGTTCTACTACAAGACGTCAGAAAGAACTTGAACTGGAAGTTCTAACCGGTGGAGTACGAGGATGGGAAGGAGATGACCTTCAAATTCTTGGTGACATAGTACATATGGGCTCAGTTGCTGTTGGTCCAGACCACCGTGACCGATATTTGGTTCTCTTTCCTTCAACTCTCCTGATGTTAAGTGTTAGTCCACGTATGAGTGCCTTTATATATGAGGTATGGTGTCACAATCCTTTTTATACCTTGTATAAAACCTCTAAAGGCCTTCTTTTTAATTTCTGATATTTCATCTTGATTAGGGAAAGTTACCATTGACTGGTATTACAGTAAATAAGCTTGAAGACACTGATAATTATAAGAATGCTTTTGAAATTGTTGGTAAGTCAGTGCTCATAAAAGAATTCCTGAATTCAAGAACTTGCCAACTTTATTAACACCTTGTATCTGGTTTTGTTAGGACCATTAATAGAACGTATTGTGGCTGTCTGCCAAACTCGAGAAGATCAACAAACCTGGGTTGACACACTTCGTCATCAAATCAGATGTGTACTACATAAATCATCCAGCCCTAAATCACCACTTCCACCACCTCATGTAAGTGGCCTCAATCTTCCTCCTGCCTCACCCTATGCCCGTCTCACTGAGTACTTTGCAAATTTAGTCAGTGCTGGTGTTATTACCAGACCACTCCTCAAGAGACTTCTTTATCGTCAGTTTAGTAAGGACTATGAAAATGTTGGCATTGTTGGGGTCAAAATAAGACATAACCATAAGGTAGAGTGTGTAATATTCCCCCAGCCAATGGGTTTGGCCCAGTGGCAGAAAGCAAGTGTTGTCAATCTACCATCAGATAGCAGTGAAGAAGGAAATCTCCGTGTTTTAGAACGCCAGGATGCTTTTGATATGAGTGATAGCTGCAGCTCAGGATCTACATCAAGCTCGCCATTCAGCCTCATGTGCTACATGCCTGCATCTCGAGAAGTGCCTGATCAGGGTTCAGAGCTGTTAGTTCCTGCGAAAATGACTCTTGAATATGCCACCTCCAAATCAGGTGAATCTAGTTTTGAAACACATCCTGGCCATCAACCATTCCCTTCATCTGTATGTCAAGATCTCTCTCATCTTTGTGAAGAAGAATTTTCATGTCGAGGAGAGAGCCGTTTTAGCCTTCCACCATCTTTTGATCCTTCGAGGGCTCCACCATCATTGCCCATTCATACCTGGCATTCGACTTCAACTATAATTCTACCTCGAGAAACTCTTCAGAGAACACATTCCTCCACTCTTGAGCTTGCCCCAAGTGCTCTTCCCTTAGCAGAAATAACTTTTGATCCAGTTGTTACATCTGAGAACAGTTGTGCGGAAAGTACTGGCATATATAGAACAGAATCTCACATTCCTAATTGTTTGTTTTGTGGTTCAGAACCTCCCAGTGCATCAAATGGGGCAAGTACAAGAACTGTTGGACACCAAGAGGTTTCTGCCCCAAGTTTTGTCAATGAATTGCCAAGTTGTGATCCTGTTGATGAAAATTGTGCATGCTGTGCTGCACGTCCTCTTAGTCCTCGATCATCAGATTCTGGTCTTGCAGATATTACTTCTCCAGATTTAACGAACTCAAATTTAAGACCAGATGAATGGCTTGGAATGGAATCTTCCCCAGTTGCTGCCACAAATCAACTTTCCGACTGTGACCTTACTTCTTTGAGAAGTTATTCTGTACCGTTAAATAATGTTCAGCATTTGAAATCTAATCAAGTTGTATGGAACCCAGAAGACCATAAAAGTCGTCTTGTATACCGATCTGGGATGTATGCTCACTGGGGTTTGAAGATGCGCCTCCCTGCATCTTCATTAGGAACTGTACCTACGAACAAGAAAAGACACCACAGAAATCCTCCACAAGCAGGCAAGAAAATTCAGTAAAAGATGATGAAAATTTCTATCCATCTGTAGTGTTGTGCCATATCATATTATTAAACACTAACACTTAAAACATTATAATTATTTTTTTATATTTTTTTTATTTTTTTTTTGCTCTTGACATAGAAAATTGGATAGAAAATTACATCAGTCTGATAGTTTTGCTATCCCTTGTTCCCTGCTTGTCCTGCTGAGTGTTTTTTTTGTTGTTTTTTCTTTCACTATTTCACTTTTAACGCATTTAGATAGGTCACTGGGTTTGTTGTGTGGTCACAAGGCAATTATTTTGCCCAATGCTGTACAGCTTTGCTATGTGACAAAATGAGTCATACATACATGAGATGGAATGAATAACTAGCTTGTTTTGTAAACTCCTCCTTAGTGCGAGTCAGGCATGCATGATTTTCCAAAGGCTGCTCCTCCAGCTCCTTGCTTGTGATCCTACCAGTATTGCTTTCTAATACAATCTATTACCCACACCGTCACTATCAGTCATAGCATACCTCTTTACCCTTACATGCTTTGTGGAGTGATTTCTGTGCAAGTGCGTATAGCTCTTCTCTGAGAAAGTGGA